TATATATATATATATATATATATATATATATATATATATATATATACATTATCATTCAAAGGTTTGGGGTTAATAAGGTGGTTTTTTTATTTATAAAAATTTATACTTTTATTCAGCAAGAAAAAAAATCACAGGAAAGAGTTGTTTCAAGTTAATGCTGTTCTTTTGCACTTTCTGTTCATCAAAAAAATAAATAAAAAATGCATAACATTTTGAGGAAAAATATTAAGCAACTACAACATATTGGAATGATTTCTAAACGATCATGTGACTGAAGACTGGAGTAATGATTTTGAAATCCATCACTGGAATAAAATCCATTTTAAAATGTATTCAAAATAGAAAATATATATTGTAAATTGTAATAATATTTAACAATAGTGCTGTATTTACTGTATGTTTAATCTAGTAAATGTAGCCGTGGCGAACACAAGACACTTAAAAAACCTTAAAAACCGTGCTGACATCGAACTTTTGAATGTTAGTGTATATATTTATATTTAATTTATTGCCGGTTTTTAACTTTGTGTTTTATGGTCTAGGGCACAAGTGATTTCTGTGTTGCACCAGACAAATTTCTGATGAACCAAACAAAAGATGTAATCAGCTCAGGTGAGTGTATCTCTTATTCTGAATGTATGTACTGTATGTAGGGAGAAATACAGACATGGACACTTACAGTGTTGGGGGTAACGCATTACAAGTAACGAGAGTTACGTAATCAGATTACTTTTTTCAAGTAACTAGTAAAGTAACACATTACTTTTTAATTGACGAGATTATCTGAGTTACTTTTTCAAATAAGTAACGCAAGTTACTTTTTTTTTCCAATTTATTGATTGACAGCTCTCCTGTCCCCATGTTGAGAGAAATCAGAAGATGTTACTGTAGTTCTAAAATAAAAATAAATATGAATATGTATTAATTCATCTCACTCACAAAAAAAACAAATTCAGTATTCCTCAAAATGAATAAAAATAATGCAACTCAGAATATGACGCAAATCTGCAATAATTAAATGTTAAACAGCACAAATATCCTTTGTGTATTTAATCCCATTCTATTAACCAATGTCTTTGCTTCTGACCTTCGATGATCCAGTTCAACCGTACTAATAAGCAAAAATTACTCTAGACAAACATTTGTGTCTTTTTTTTCAAGGACTGCCATAGAGTATAAATGGGATAAATTCAGGGATTAAGATAATCTGTTTTCAAAGTTCGAATCTCATTCAGGGATACTAACGTTTGAAAAAATGAATTTCTGCATAACATTCAGAACTGTAATGTCTAAAATTACTAGAATTAGTCACAGTATAAATTAAAACTAGTACATTTTAATTTAACATAGCAATATACCTAATACAAAGGGTGACCAGTTACTACAGATTCAACCATAATAGAACAGTTACTGCAGATCTGAAGTCACAGCAATTGACCTCCTTCACATAGTAGCCGATAAAAAGGGTTCAGAGTCCTTTTATTTTATTATATTAATTTATTAATTTTTGATTACCATTTTGTAAATTCATTATAAATGCTTTTTATTTAGTCTACCACAGAGACTTATTGACATATTTTTTTAGCTTTTAAAACGAATACATATGCCTGCACTAGTGACCAGTGTTGGGGGTAACGCATTACAAGTAACGAGAGTTACGTAATCAGATTACTTTTTTCAAGTAACTAGTAAAGTAACACATTACTTTTTAATTGACGAGATTATCTGAGTTACTTTTTCAAATAAGTAACGCAAGTTACTTTTTTTTTCCAATTTATTGATTGACAGCTCTCCTGTCCCCATGTTGAGAGAAATCAGAAGATGTTACTGTAGTTCTAAAATAAAAATAAATATGAATATGTATTAATTCATCTCACTCACAAAAAAAACAAATTCAGTATTCCTCAAAATGAATAAAAATAATGCAACTCAGAATATGACGCAAATCTGCAATAATTAAATGTTAAACAGCACAAATATCCTTTGTGTATTTAATCCCATTCTATTAACCAATGTCTTTGCTTCTGACCTTCGATGATCCAGTTCAACCGTACTAATAAGCAAAAATTACTCTAGACAAACATTTGTGTGTCTTTTTTTATTGCTGAAGTGTGTTGAAATCTCTTCTTCTGCATTCTGTACGGACGTAAATTTACTTTCCCTTCAGCCTGAGGCTTATTCATTTCACTTTTGGTGTGAAAAGGCATTTATATTTGCCAAAAAAAAAAAACGTTTTATTTTAAAAACAAACAAACAAGCAAGCCCTGTCCAGATTTAAAAAGTAACGCAAAAGTAATGTAACGCATTACTTTCCGTAAAAAGTAACTAAGTATCGTAATTAGTTACTTTTTATGGAGTAACGCAATATTGTAATGCATTACTTTTAAAAGTAACTTTCCCCAACACTGGACACTTATGCACGTGCACACACACACACACACACACACACACACACACGACAAGTCATGGCCGGCTCATTTAATCTCATATTATGAATGGGGATTATGCTTCTTCAGTGTACAAATTTGCATGAAATGGCATTTTTACACTATCAAGTGCTTGAATAGTTTAAAGGGTTAATCTGAGAGACCTTTATTCCTGCTCCATAATCACTGACTGAATACATTGGTAAAATGGCCATTCCTGTGATCATGTAACTTTAATCCTGTTCTCAGCCATAATATGTTCCTGCACTACCAGACAGACAGAAGCTCCCTCAGGTGCTTGAGGATGGAGAAAAAAAAATTCCATTCCTCAGAGAGGCTGCTTTTTCATAGCACGCAAGACTTAAAGGAATAGTTCACCCAAAAATGAAAATAACACCACAGTCGGAATGGTTAAAAATTGCTTCTAAACCTCTGTTTAGTATAGTGGATATCATGCATCACAAGATTCATTTAATCTTAATGATGACCAGATGTGATTTGTGATTTCTTTTCTTTTCTAAGTTCTATTTGTCATGGTGTTCATAATGCACTTTTTATTGTTTTTTTCTTTTCTAGATATTGTGCATTATTACTTGTACTGCAGCCAGACGCTCCCCAACCCGTTTCAGCAGGTACTATGGTTAATAGAAATGATCACTTGCACATTGTTCTTTAATTTCCTACTAAAATGGTCTTCAATAGGGATGTGAATCATAAGGAATCCAAGGATGCAATTTTTATTCTAGGTTTACTTAATACTGATTTCTTTTAGTACTTTAGAGAAAACAAGATATTTTTTTGATAAAAGAATCATATATTAATGTGTCATTACACCGCTTAAAAACTGAATTGTGAGTCTTAAAGACCCATTTGTTAAAAAGTGGTTCATAAGAGTTTGTGTTTGTTCACAAATTTGTTTTCGTTGGTTACATTTGTTTATACGTCAGCACAGGCATTTCAGTAAGGATGTTTATTGTCTTTTGTATTATTGTTTCTCAGTGAGTGTGCCATTACTTAAAATAGCTAATAACTAATATTTTTGAAACTGAATTGACTCTTTTTGATTGATTCAATAAAAATAAGGAGTTTGTAAGAGTTTGTTCACTTTGCTGTATGTTTGTATGTCAGCAAGAGCAATGCAATATAAAGATGCATATTTATTTTCTTTTGTATTGTTATTCATCAAATTTTTTTTTCAGACTGCAAGCTTACAATTCATCATTTATATTTTCATGGCGTTATTGATTCAGTAACGGCATCCTAACTTAAATGAAACCTCATAAGTGACTAATTGGGGATTTTTGCATAAAAATGCATAAAGCAAACAAATATTGGGTAAAATACCCAAAATACATTTTATAAAACCATTTTTATCAATATTTTTCTGATTTGAATGAGTTATAAGTACATTTGTAATACACTCTCTCATTTGTCTTCCATCTAGGATGGGTTCTTTTACTTGTCCCATCACAATGCATTATGGGATTGTCTTCTCTGCAAAGCATAAATGCAAATGGTGACTTAAAGTTTGGCCAAATATATAGACTGCCTTAAAATGCTCTTTACAGTATTTAGGTTGCTCAGTAGGTTTTAAAATGGCCAATATGAATCCGTTCTAAATTTCCAAATCTACCTATCAGACTTATCATTCTCCCTCTCCACCTACTTTACTCTTTTCCCGACTCTGTGTCTTTCTCCCTCACTTCTCCTGTCTCTCTGCATCTCTCAGGGTTTTTAGGTCAGGCAGTAAAAGGCTAGTGTCCTATATCTCGGCTTGCTGCAGTTCAGCAACAGAGTAACTGTAGACATCTCTCTCAGATCAATAGAGTTGTCACAAAGATAGAGAAACAAACATGTTCATAAGACATCAATTGCATGTCCTGTACTCACTTACTCAAACACACACACACTCACACACAATATCAGTATGTAAAGAGCATCGTCAGCCTTTTCCATTTATGACAATATTCTTGTAATGAGATGGATGTCCGTTTTATCCTATTCCCTTCTCATGTTCTGTTCTTGGTCTCATCTTTGTTTAATTTCTAATCACTGTTTATTCAGACTCACAGTCTGTAAATCTCTCGTTCTGTCACTCATTTTTTGTTTTCTTGCCTCTCTTTTTCATGTGTGGTCTGGGATAGAGATGCATTTTCCTTTCCACAGTGAATTAATTCACTCATATCAAGACAAGAGGGTGAAAATTGTACAAACAAAGTGGATTCATTTAATCAGGTTTTAGATGTGATTTTTCTGCTGTTCCACTTGCTGGTGAATCTTGCAACAAACAAAAGCCTGGGTCATATTTCGTCACAAAATCAAGGAGAATATATAGATTTATTAAATTAGGAAGTCATTTTTATCACTAAAAAAATCACATTATTGTAATACAAAGAATATCATCCCTAGAATATACTAACAAAATTGACATCTCCAGACACAATTTTTGAATATGTATTTATTTTTATATGGTTATTTACGTAGATTTGAGAGCTGACAGTGTTACCAGGTGTGTTCATCTGTGGATGGTGCAGTTTCTCTCTCTGCTGGTAGGGAGTGGAACTGCACATGAGTCTCTTTCAGGATGAACCGTATCTGTGATGTGTAAACTGTGGATATTGTGTTTGTTAGCCCTTAAACATAAGGAACTGATCCTGAATTAGTTTGTTTTGCAGTCCCTGACTGTCTTCCAGAGATCGCTGACCACCATGCAGATCCAGATCCAAGGTCTCCTGCAGTTTGCAGTGCCTCTGTTCCCCACAGCTGAGGTGAGTGTGCATGAGGACTATACAGATAGACTTATGCATTTACTTTAATACTATGTGCTCTATTCAGTATAGCCTGTAGTATAAACCTTTACCAATAAATATTATACATTTATGCATTTAGCAGATGCTTTAATCCAAAATGGCTTGCATTGCATATTTAAAATGAATTTAAACAATAATATTGACTGAATTTCGCATATATATGTGCGAAATTCACTATACAGGTATATACAACTTATGACATTTTTACGACAATCTAGCACACATTGTTTTATATTCTTATTATTGCAATGTAAAAGTATTCATTTTAATTAGACAACATGAAGGCAGTACAAAATGCATGTCATTTTAATTTTTTTTAGTACTGACCTGAACCAGATATATTTCACATCAAACACATTTACATATAATCCACATATAATACACTTTATTCTTAATACTGGGGGTTTTTTTGTCTTCCGGTCCCACACATTCTTTGGTTTTCCTGCATCTTTTGCATATGTAAACCCTTTTGAACAATGACTGATCCATATTTTCACACTGAGGACAACTGAGGGACTCATATGCAACTATTACAAAAAGTTCAAAACGCTCACTGATGCTCCAGAAGGAAATATTATTTCACTTCTTTCTTGGTGAATAAAAAAAGCTGTATGAATAAATGCATTTTATTGTATTGCATTTAATGATTTAAAAAAAATTTTTTGGCCAATTCTATTTTTTTTCATAGCTATTGTGTGTGGTTCTTTTCAGAGGGATTTATTGAGTATTCAGAATTTATTGAATAATTCAGAGGCCAGTTTACATCAGCTCACTGCACTTCTAGACTGCCGAGGACTCAATAAGGTACCGAGCACACATTAATGTTCCACCTGCTTCTGTCTAATATGATGCTGTGAGATTTTAGCAATTAGTCAAATGCATCTAAATCTCTTGTGGGGTGTGTGTGTTTGCAGGACTACCTGGACGCTCTGATAGGTGTGTGTTATGATGGCGTGGAGGGGTTGCTGTATCTCTGTCTGTTCTCTCTGCTGGCGGCCTGTGCCTTCTCTGTCATGCTGTGTGCCATCCCGAGAGCGTGGCGACAGATTGCCAACAGGTACAGTACATACACAGAGAATGCATTTAGATCACTCACTATTGACTATAGTGCACTAAACTCTAATCAAACATCCATAAACTAGCTAATTAAGTTCTTTGGGAGTCAGTTGAGAAATACAGCCAGGTCTGTTAGAGCCTTTGCATGAAGAAAGCATGCCGAAAACTTGGTAACTGTCATTACAAGCATGACCTGAGGGTGCTTGCAGAGTTTTGGCACGGCGCCACCTACTAGTCAAGAGATATGAAAAACTTTTATTTTTGCTTATAATTTCTGAACAGTTTGACCAAAATTTAAGAGACTGGTCTATTTAGATTCTGTATAGAGTCACACTGTATCCAGTTTTTTGCCATTGTGAATTTTGTTATAAAATACTGTATTTTACAAATGCGTTGGCATATTTTTATGAAACTTGACTTGTGTCTTTAGCACCATAACCTGAAGCAACCTATGAAGTTTTGGGCCGATGCCATGTAGTGGTCACAAGAGATAACACAAAGTACAAATATGCTTACATTTTTTCTCACCTCTTTCTGAAACCATTTTTGTATAACTGTCAAATTTAATGGCATGATGCCAAACTGAACCTGACTACACCAGATCAATTTGGTGGCAGCGCCACCTGTTGGTCAAAAGTGACATTACCCTCCTGACCTGAAAACTAATTTTAAACAACATTCATTTATTGTGACGCAACAGTGCGCAGTGAGATATTTGGAAATAGCGATGCAAAATTATCTAGAAAGTGGAACATAAGATAGAAACCAAACAGGTGCTGGTCAGCATTGAGTTCCGTAGTATGAAAAAAATACTAAGGAATTCAATGGGCACCAGAAACTGTTTGGTTACCCACATTCTTCAGAATATTGTCTTTTATGTACAACAGAAGAAAGAAACTTCTGGTTGGAACAATTCTAAGGTGAATAAATGACCATTTTCATTAATGGGTGAACTATCCCTTTAATTCTATTTTTAATTCTGATGGTGCTATTTTTGTAAATTGCACTTTTGTTCTGTATTTTTGCAGCCTTGGTTAGCAACGGAGACAAATCTTACCGGCCCCAAACTTTTGAATGATTGTGTAAACAATGCTGCACTTTCTCTCCACAGAGATCGAGATTACGATGACATTGATGACGGGGACCCGTTTAACCCTCAGAGCCGGCGAATGGCATCCCATCATTCACACCAGGGCAACATGCACAGCTTCTGCAGCTACAGTAGCAGCATAGGCAGCCAAACCAGCCTGCAACCTCCAACACAGGCTGTGACCAACGCACCCCTGTCAGAATATATGTAAGAGTCAACCTTAAACATGATTTATTCTTTTTCATATTCTGTGATATAATTGTTTTCAGATTGATGCATCTGGATTTTGTGTGACAGCTCAATTCAGTAACTTTTGGGTAGGAGAGGGGAGCTGATGTTGATTGATTTTCCTTTCTTGAGGAATATTAGAGGAAGTTCACTTACTGTATTATTTCTAAAATACTTATATCCTTTCTCCTTCCTCACTCTGTCTTCCTGAATTCTCGCCCTCATTTTCTCTTTTCATTTATCACTATCTTGTTTTGACAGGAACCAGTCTGCACTGTTTGGAGGAAACCCACGCTATGAGAACGTGCCACTGATCGGGAGGGGATCTCCTCCTCCTTCGGTGCGTTGGGCTCCAGAGGCCAAGTCCTTCTCATGACCCACACATACACTTGTGTTGACACAATGACAATAATTCACACCAAAGATTTAACCTTTTTTCATAATCATTTTAAGGGTCAATATGAAATCAAAATTGGCCATATGTACACTATTTTTCAAAAGTATATGTTCTATTTAAAGGATATATACAGTGTGTGTATATATATATATATATATATATATATATTCAGAAAGCAAACATTAAATTAATCAAATGTGGTAGTAAAGACATTTACAAAAGATTTCTATTCCAAAAAAGTGCTGTTTCTATTATCAAAGACTCCTAAAAATATATAATTGTTTCTACAAAAATATTAAGCAACATTACTGTTTTCAGAATTGGTGGTAATACATGTTTCTTGAGCATCAAATCAGCATATTATATATATATATATATATATATATATATATTCAGAAAGCAAACATTAAATTAATCAAAAGTGGTAGTAAAGACATTTACAAAAGATTTCTATTCCAAAAAAGTGCTGTTTCTATTATCAAAGACTCCTAAAAATATATAATTGTTTCTACAAAAATATTAAGCAACATTACTGTTTTCAGAATTGGTGGTAATACATGTTTCTTGAGCATCAAATCAGCATATTAGAATGATTACTGAAGGATCATGTGACACTGAAGACTGAAGTAATGATGCTGAAAATTCAGCTTTAATAATAACAATACCTTTTATTTATAGTGCGCCTTTATTTCCAATCACAAGAATAAATAATGTTTAGAAATGTATTAAAATAGAAAAGTTATTTTATTGAAAATAATATTTCACAGTATTTTAACTATATGTTTGCTCAATTAAATGCAGCCTTGGTGAGCATTTTTTCAAAAACATAAAAAAATAAAATACCAACCCCAACTTTTGAACAATAGTGTACTTCCTTGGTACTTATTGTGTTATTGTGCACAATTCATCTGTGCTCATCATAACAACAATTAGACATGGTATGAAGAGAGTAAATGGGAAAATTTTGATTTCACGTTGACCTTAAAACTCTTGCCATGATTATTTCTACCCTTAATCTTCTATTTGTCCTCTGATGGCCAGTGGCTTTCTACTGTCTTCTGCTAATAGCTTCTTTTACGTTTTTTTCTTTCTTTGTTTGTTTGTATGTTTCTCTGTTTGTATGTTTCTGTTCTATTTTTTTCTTCTTCCTTATTTTAACCAAAAAAATAAAATTATTTTTGGAGCTTTACTCTCAGCCATATAGAAACCGCGTAAGTTGCTGTATGATTACAGTATTATTGTCCCACTCCCTTTGTTCTCTTTCCTTTTATTTCATCCCTTGTTTTATCCCATGAGTTTGAATAAATTGTGTGGGTGATTTTGTCCCTGTCCCCCTTCACTCCTGGCATGGATTCTCATAAACATACCCACATATGTTGTATGTTAGGCACAGATGAGCTACGTAGAGCACGCCCACCATTGGTAGATCAGAATGCATTTACAAGAGCATTTTCCTGTCGGATTGTAGTGTTGTCTGGCCACTAGCATGCTTTACAAACCCTTTTGTTAGCTAATAACTTTATACAGGTTTAGAGCAACATGAGGGTGAGTAATTGATGACAGGATTTTCTTTTTTTATATACAATCTTTTAGATATTAGCTAGCTAATAAACCTGTATTGGCGTCATCGGTAAACTTGTAGTCTACACCGAACACAAAAAGTGTAGTTCATTTTCATTTCACTACTGAAAAATGGTTCCTGTTGGCTTGAATGGTTTTAGTGATCTATATATGTGTTGATGTTTTTCACAGTACTCTCCAACCATGAGAGCCACCTATCTCTCCATGACCGAAGACCAGATCAGACACTTTGGGGAGGATTTCCGAGCGTAGAACTGATCTGTTGTCCTCTGGTGTGAGGCTTTACACGCTGGAAATATGGACATATGGAAAACTTTCACGCCAGCATGTCTGCGCGCCCTTCTTTGTGTTTAATAAGCACAGTCTGAGAGGAGAACGTCATTTAAGAGCACTCTGTGTGTGTTCATACAGGTGCTTGCATGTCTGTGTGTGTTTGTCGATTATTCTAATGGTGCGATGCTTCTTTTCCCTCACTACTGACACATTTGTGAGGTGCTGAAATATCCTCTCTCTAATCTGTTTTACTTGTATGTTTACACCATATTTTCATTAAATAGACTGTTGGTCTTCCCTATTGCCTTTTCAGCTGCAGAAACTGTTTGACGTGGGTAACAAAAACTTATTTGGACCCACTCTATATTAAGTGTCTTTAACTACCATGTGCTAACATTTAAATTAATCATTTGATGCAGTGCACTTCTTGTGTACATAGAAAAAAAAAATAATACCTGCATGTAATTACATCTGTAATTCATTTCTGTAATTGCACCTGCTGCATATATTACACTTTTAAAACTAACCATACCATGAAACCATAGGGAAGTCGTGGCCTAATGGTTAGAGAGTCTCGTACCGGCAGGGATTGTCGGTGGGGGGAGTGAATGTACAGCACTCTCTCCCACCTTCAATACCATGACTGAGGTGCCCTTGAGCAAGGCACCGAACCCCCAACTGCTCCCAGGGCGCCGCAGCATAAATGGCTGCCCTCTGCTCCGGGTGTGTGTTCACGGTGTGTGTGTGTTCACAGCTGTGTGTGTGCACACTTTGGATGGGATAAATGCAAAGCACTAATTCCAAGTATGGGTCACCATACTTGGCCACATGTAACGTCACTTTGTTTAAAACCAGTCACTCACCTTAACTGCATCCAATCTCAAATACTTTTTTCGATCTAATGTAATTTCATTTCAGCTTTATTTCAATGACTGAAAATGATTTTTAATTACGTTTAGTTAAAAATAACAACACTGATAAATAACAATTGATTCTTTTTTTTCATAATAGTAGATAAAGACAACTAATATAAATATAGTGGGACCTCTATTTTTAGGCATAGAAATTGAGCATTTGTTTTCTTACCGGAGTACATAACCTTATAAAGGTTACCCATTTGTCATTTTAAAGATTTTGTACATATAAGTGTGGACACTGGTTAAAGCAGGGCTGTCCAAACTCGGTCCTGGAGGGCCGGTGTCCTGCAGAGTTTAGCTCCAGCTTGCCACAACACACCTCACTGGAAGTTTCTATGCCTAGTAAGAGCTTGATTAGCTGGTTCAGGTGTGTTTAATTCGGGTTGGAGCTAAACTCTGCAGGACACCGGCCCTCCAGGACCGAGTTTGGATAGCCCTGGGTTAAAGTATTAATATTCTGTCCATTGGACATTCAGTCCTATATAGTGTACAGCATTGCTAGTATCAGCATTGTAGGTTTGCTAGGTACTTTTCTTAGCAGTTGTTCATGAAAAGTTGTCTTATGTTTTTTATGTTGCTACTGTGCAGTGTGGGCTTCATGGACATGTCATCACTTTTTATGATGGCTAACTGTACAGATACCAGTGCATCATCTTATTTTGAAGTGAAGCTTCTTTTGTTTTCTAAATGTGTTTTGTGCCAAGAATGGAAGCATGTTTTGTGCCTCTAAAGCCTTTGTTTTCTTTCCCTTTCATTGCTTTATTCAGTGAGCGACCACTGATGTATCTATGGGAGAGGGGAATAAAAGCTTTTCTATTTGTTTTGCATGTAGAGGCATTTTAAGCACAACATGATCACTTGAAATTTAAAGTGAACAAACATACAGTAGATTTGTTCCACAAATGATGTTTCTGACATCCTGAGAGATGTCCACCTCTTTTCCAGCAGGCACAGATGATGGGTCATTTTACTTGGAACTTAAAATTAAAGATCATATCATATCAACTTGAGAGAGCACACTGAGCCAATTTCTTCCTATGATGCAAATACACATGCTTTGTATTAACATGTTGAGCAGCTGTAAATAACCTGTTTGATAACTGATGTTGTGTGATGATTTGTATTTCTTTCTTTGCTCCATGCTTGTGTGCCATTTTCAGTATATTGTTTGATCAAATCAGCTACTTGGACAGATGCTTAATCTCATTTGAGATTTATGGTCGCATCCGTTTGGTTTATTGTATAGTTAGACTCTTACATTTTTTTTAAAAAAACTGATTTTAATACTTTGGGTGCATGAATAGCACTGTTGCAGACACTGAGGGTGGTGCTTTATTTCCGTCTACAGAAACATGGATATAATAAAACCATTTTGAATTGAAATAAGACCTATGAGTGTAGCAGTTATTTTTGAAAGTTATAGGCACATAACATTTATGTATGGCACTTATATCCAGTAGCTGGGCATGTTTATTTTTATTTTTTTTTACACTATATAGGGTAAGTTGTCACACTGATAATGCTGCCATAAAACACAATTTTTTTTTTACTTTGCATCAAAATGTAAACCTTAAAACAATTATGAAATTGCAAAATGTAAAGGGCAGTGTTATAAAAATAGCAAATTGTTTTGGCCAACAAGTGTTAATAAACTTTAGAAGTTATAATACTTATAATACTAATCCTGTGAAAACAGTTTAACTTTATGGTTAAGATCTACTATTCATAATACATTTGTTATAGCCTGTATGTGACCCTGGACCACAAAACCAGCCTTAAGTTGCACGGGGATATTTGTAGCAGTAGCCAAAAATACATTGTATGGGTCAAAATTATCGATTTTTCTTTAATGCCAAAAATCATTAGGATATTAAGTAAAGATCATGTTCCATGAAGATATTTTGTAAATTTCCTACCGTAAATAGGCCTATATCAAAACTTAATTTTTGATTAGTAATATGCATTGCTAAGAACTTAATTTGGACAACTTCAAAGGCGATTTTCTAAATATTTTGATTTTTTTTTTTTTTTGCACCTTCAGATTCCAGATTTTCACATAGTTGTATCTCGGCCAAATATCGTCCTATCCTAACAAACCACACATCAACGAAAAGCTTATTTATTCAGCTTTCAGATGATGTATAAATCTCAAGTTTGAAAAATTGACACTTAAAGGTACAATATGTAATTTTTGCCACTAGAGGGCGCATATTCAAAACAAACAAGGCGTAGTTAGATGAGCCGTGGCTGAGTGTGGAATCATGGGAGTTGTGGTCTTCATCCCCACAGCCGAAGCAATCCGATGGGACTCGGGCAGAAATCATGTTCATGGATGAGCTAATGTATTAAAGATTTATTAACGTCGTAGTATGAAGCAGAGTGAGGCGTTACACACGGCCCGAAAGCAGCGGAGCTTTTATTATGCCACAGTCGACCGCTTCCGCTCCTTCCAGCAGAAGCAAGCAGCGCAAGTAAGCAGCGCTGTTTTATCACACTAGATACATTTGTTCTGTTATAATGCTACTCTGTGCAGTCGTCACCTGTCTAATAGCCTTTAAGACTGGTCTTGTGGACCAGGGTCACATATATTATTAGCCTCAACAGCTATTGCAGAAATATGACGATTTGTCATATGATGGTTTCAGCTTGGAGGGGGAAACACACACATACACACACACACACATACATACACACGCACACACACATACACGCACACACACACACACACACACAGATTTGTTTTTATGGTTTATGGGGACTCTCCATAGGCGTAATGGTAAGAGTTTTGAAATGAACGCTTAAAAAAAAAACGACATACAAACCCACCGCTAGAGAAAACAAGCATTTGTGTAACTGGACTTGACTCAAACCCATAGGCCTACAGTTAAGTTGCTGAGAAATAGTAATATTTACTAATACTAAAACTAATACTGTAGTAATGTTTGACAAGGACGCGTTGCTTAAAGTTGAATAAATGATGATGAAATAATAAACTGAAATAAAACTGAATTTAACCATCTTATATTCCTTATAATTCCTGAGTTAAAAAGAGTTCATGCTATTTTTCCTCAATGTGCCAGCGAGTGTTGATATATGGCGCCCTCTACTGGCGCTGTGTCTAACAGCAGCAAAAAAGCGAGTAGAAAGCCTGAGTTTAAACAGCCAACAGGGTTAGTGTAGTCTGAATGAAAAATGATCAAATAACGCGTTTATATCTATACGTACAATTTTAAGCAGAACTCGTTGCTTTTGGTATTTAGTAGTATTAACATGACCACTTTTAAAGAGTACAGTATGTGTGTAAAGGACAGGCGCTAGGACACAGTAAACTCCTGCAGACCCAGAAAGCCTCACCGAATCACGTAAGATTAATAACGTGCCGGATTATGAAAGAGTTTAGTATTAAACGGGTGCCTGCTGTAGACTGACACATGCCGCAGAATGCTATCTTTAATGCAGTCATTTCGCAATTTTTGACACAGCATTCTGCTTTTGGTCTAAACTGCTCAAATAAATGTCCACAATAATCATATTAAATCATACTTAGACCTTATAATATCTGTCTGCTGCTGTTTTATTGGGCATTAACAGTAAAGAGAGGGGGAAGCAGTGTTGGTGCTGCTATCCTAATCGAAGCCGGGTCAGAATTGATTAGCTAAGTCGTTTACGACGAGGAGGAAGTCTTTAACGGCAGGTAACCGGTTTAGTCGGTGTTATAATCTAACATAACGTTACTTAAACGTTGAAACGTTTATAAAAAGTTTTTATAATTACAAAACAAAATGTTTGTTCTGTATGTAAGTTTCAGCTTAATTTTTTCATCAGTAAGTGTGCGTGACAGCCTACTATAAGTACTCTAAAACTATATATATATATATGTGTGTGTGTGTGTGTGTGTGTGTTTGGGATCATTGTCCTGCTACATAACCCAAGTGCGCTTGAGCTTGAGGTCACTGATGGCCGGACATTCTCCTTCAGGATTTTCTGATAGAGTGCAGAATTCATGGTTCCGTCAATTATGGCAAGTTGTCCAGGTCCTGAAGCTGCAAAGCAGCCCCAGATCATCACACTACCACCACCATGTTTGACTGTATAAAAACCTTAAAATCTCTATGTACATTATATTAATTCTCAAAAGTTTTATGATTTCAATAATTGATAAATGGCATATTTGTATTTTAAAGAATTAATTACAATTAAATAAAAAATTACCCATAATTTGTCACCAGCTTGATTTCATCAGTGAGCGAGCGTGACATGCTGTAATTCCTCTAAAACTATTTTAAACAAAATTTTGAAACAGTTCTGAAGGGAATATATGGCATATTTTATTTAAAAAAAGAAAAAGAAATGACACCCCACAGGACCATTTAAAATTAATGAAAGAAAACAAAAAGTTTAAACAAAACGTAATGTTAAAATAAAAAAATAAATACCAAAAAAATAAAAATAAAAAAGATACAAATATAAATTTAATCAGGAATTGTTTACACCATCTTCTTTTAACATTTCTTACCTTTAGCTAAAATGAAGATTGTGTACGTGTACACAAAAAAGCACAGTGAGTTTGGGCACCAGTGTAACTTTTCAGACCATCCAGCTGAGCTGCATGTGGACATTCTGCCTGACATTTCCCTCGCTGCAGACTTCACAGTGAGAGATCTATGTAATGTGACCGTTCAGTGCGCCGAGGAAATGTCCGAGCATGAGGTGAGACCAGCATTAACACAGCAACAAAAAATTAAAATACAGAAATCCATGAAAGTGCAATCTTTGCACATTTTTTGTTGTTGTTGCTGTGTAATGCTGTACAACTGTACGTTCATAAAATATCATGAAATGTATTATTACACTTTCGTATAATATGAATTAGTTTTCATCATGGATTGAATTGTCATGAAATTCTTGTCGTGTTCAGGTGAACACAGAGCGCTTTGAATCCGAGTCACGAGGAATAAACCATGTGGAATTAGGGTGGCCGAAAGATCTCAATCCAGAGGACATGGAGGCGACCATACGCTACAGGAAGAAAGTGGAGAAAGATGAATACTATCAGAACACTATTATGCAGATTGCTGGTGTGAGAGCCTTAAACTGTTAACCATGAATTATTAGACGAGCAATATACAAGACTTTTATATTAGACATACTTTTGATTTCCTTATTGAAAAACAAGCCCAATTTTGCCCATTGCAGCTCATGGAACACTGTTGCAAGCAGAACAACGCCACTGACGTCTACCAGGAGTTTTTTGAGGATGAGGATGAGGAGGTATTGGAGGAATCGGAGGAACAGCCATCAGCAAAGACAATCAATGTCTTCAGGTGAGCGCACTTAACTGTAATGATAGGGCAATATATCAACAAGGTCACTGTTTTTTACGCTTTTCAGCATTTTTAATTTTAGGACATTTTGGATAAATATTGTGTTCATTTAAATTCAGTGATTTTTTAAAATATATATTTTTAATCTTATTTTCTATCATATATGTACATTACCAAACACAATTTTGGGATCAGTAAGACTTTTTTTTAAGGATGCACTAAACTGATCAAAAGCAACAGTTAAAACATTTATAATGTTTCCATTTCAGATGAATGCTGTTCTTTTGAACTATTTGAATGATCAATTTCTTATAATTATCAATTATCAAAGAAAAGGATTAACCCCTATTTACAAGTGCACATTAGGATGGACTTGTTCTAAAAAAATGAAATTATTATTTTTCTTTTTTTTCCAGAACTATTTACATAAATAGAACTTTTGAATCGTATCATTTTTAATACTGTGTTTTTTCTAGAGACCCGAATGAAGTGAAGCGCACAGCCTCCAGTTTGTCCTGGCACCCCGATGGCAACCATAAACTTGCTGTCGCCTACTCTTCCCTGGAGTTTCAAAGAGCACCCAATGACATGAGCTTCGACTCCTTCATATGGGACATTGGTATAACATAAGAACAGCGCTTTTTGTGATATAACAAAACAAGTCATGTGCCATATATAGCAAGAACAAAAATATGTTTTTTTACTTTCAGAAAATCCCAATAAACCTGAAATGACTCTGAAACCTGTATCTCCACTTGTATGTCTAGAGTACAACCCAAAAGATTCACACATTCTTGTTGGGGGAAGCTACAATGGACAAATCGGTGGGTTTTATCACCTGAGCGCCTCTCTGGATGCACAATTAATCATGTTCCATTCCAGCAACCAAAACACTTATGGCCATCTGAGCTCTTTTAGTGGTGTAATTACATTGGCCTCAGTCGCTCTGTGCATTTTTAGTTCTCAATAAATTATGGTTAATGGAAAAAAGTACCTTTGACCTTGTCTGAATAGCTGGACTAATAGCATATGGCAGTATGTACTTGAGTATGTACTTTGGAATGGCATCTGTAGATTAATTTGTGTAAATGTACATGAATAACCTTGTATATATATATATATATATATATATACAGTGGGTACGGAAAGTAATTTAACCCATTTCCAGCATATTGGGACACTCGTAAGGGCAGCCAGCCAGCAGAGATGTCCACCATCGAACACAGCCATAGAGATCCTGTCTACAAAGTCACCTGGCTGCAGTCGAAGACAGGCACGAACATCTTCTCGGCTTCTACAGATGGCCAGGTCTGTGTGCAATGACACAAAAGTCTAAAACTAAAGTAATAAACCACACAATCTTTCACTGAGACTTGCACTGCATGCTAATGAAGTCAACAGAGATAAGACACTCATGCATCTGACACCAGGTACTCTGGTGGGACATTCGGAAGATGAGTGAGCCCACTGAGAGACTCGTACTGGACCCTAGTAAAAAGGGCAACCTTGACAATGCCCTTGGTGCAGTCTCGCTGGAGTTTGAGACCACTATGGTAAGAGCTGTCCTTAGTTTTCTTGGCTCACTGCAAGAAGAAATTTTGTAGAAATAGATGTTGAGAACTTAAAACATCCTTTGTTTTTGATTACACAAGCCCACTAAGGTCATGGTGGGCACAGAGCAGGGTCTTGTGGTTTCATGCAATCGCAAAGCAAAAACCCCTGCTGAGAAGATTGTATGCACATACAGTGGACACCACGGTCCCATTTACGCCCTGCAGAGAAACCCATTTTTTCCTAAGAACTTCTTGACTGTTGCTGTCTGGACCGCCTGCATTTGGTCGGAGGATATCAAGGAGTCCTCCATCATGTGGACCAAGTAACTTCAGTTTTGTTGTTCAAATACAGCATTATAAAATTAGTTTTTACTGTATTTTTGGTTAAATAAATGCAACCTTGAGCATAAGAGACTTTCAAAAACATTTTAAAATCTTACTAACTGTTAAATGGTAGTGTAGATGTAACGTGCACAGGTGCCAGTATTTCTAATCTGTTTCTACAGGTATCACATGGCCCATCGGTTAGATGGCTGTTGGAGTCCAGTCAGGCCATCGGTTTTCTTTACACTAAAGATGGACGGCACCTTGGACGTGTGGGACATCTTGTTTAAACAGAACGACCCCACTCTCAGCCTTAAAGTTGGTCCTTAATGCCTCCCCCTTGTACTGAATCTATCTCACAGTCCAATATCTCAGCGTTATCTGTTAAGAAATATTCACAGTGTGTGTGTGTGTGTGTGTGTGTGTGTGTGTGTGTGTGTTTTTCCTCACAGGTTTGTGATGAAGCCCTGTGCAGCATCCGGGTGCAAGATAACGGCCGCTTCCTGGGCTGTGGCTCTCAGCTGGGAACCACCACACTGCTGGAGATTTCAGCAGGCCTGTGCACACTGCAGAAGAACGAGAAGGCCATGGTCTCAGAGGTCAGACACAAACACACCTGAACATGCACAACATAAAGATTTCTTTATATTCCATAGTAAAATATACATTATATAATACTGTTCAAAAGTGACCAAGGCTGCATTTGTTGTAAAAACAGTACTATTGTGAAATATTATTATAATTTAAAATAACTAATATATTTTAATACATTTAAAAAATATATATATTTTTTTGTTATGGCAAAGCTGAATTTTCAGCATCATTACTCCACTCTTCAGTGTCACATAATCTTTCAGAAATCATTCTAATATGCTGATTTGGTGCACAAGAAACATTTCTACTAATTGTCAACTGTGTGAAGAGAAAGAGTTCCAGGAGGAGCATGAAACTAATGGTGTTTCTTCCTTTACAAGAAGAGAAATCTCTCTGTAGATTGCCAACACCGAGCTGGTGTCATACTCGGATCATGTTCGCAACCCATTTTACTTCCATAATTTGATGTATTTCTGAGTGAAATGGGATATTCTTTTATTTATCATGAACAAACTGGAATGTGTAAAATGGGCATTAAATACCAGAAGTGGATTGGAGTTTCACAGGATGACCAAGAACTCTGTAAAGCTGCTTTGAAACAAGATGCATTGTAAAAAAAAAAAAGTGCTATACAAATAAACCTGACTCAACCAGGAATGTGCATTAAGAAAGTAGATTGGTGATTTCATGTTGACTTTAAGGAATCAATGCAACTGACTGTTTATTGTGTTTCTTATGTTATGTCACTAAACTAAAAGTGACTAATTAAATAAAATACATTTAGCATTTTTAATTATGTGTGATCATTGCAATTATTCCAGCAGTTGTCAGTGTTGTTTCAGACATTCACACATCTTTCATATCCTCAAAATAGCATTTTTAGTCTGATATGGAATTGTGAAACTGCTAGCGACTTACTTTTTTTGTAAAAAAAAAAATATATATAAAATGTTCATAACAGCTAACTGTAAATATTCACTATTGTTTGATTATATTTGTCATTATATCCTTCCACATGTGTCTTAAGATCTCAAAATACTGGTATTGTGTGAATAGGTCAATAACATGACGATAAAACCCCCCCAAAAAATGCGGTTCATGCAGAAAATGGACCTTGACCAGACCTTTAATATTATTATGAATAATTTTTCAGTTTCTGAATACAATTAGTATTTGTTTGTTTGTTTGATTTGTAATTTGAGGGGCATAGGAACATCATGGTTTTCAAATGATGAAATTCTTATTAAAAGGCAAAAATTCTTGTCAACAAATATACAATTATCATCAAAAGAATATTTAAAATAAGTTGACTTTATTATAATTTTTTTAATTTTAAAAATATAACCCAAACAATATTATTTATATCAATATATAATAATTAAATAATATATAATACACAATAATTATATGTATTTACATTAATATAGAACAATAATTAATATACTGTAATATTAATGAGTCAAAAAGTATAATAGTTTATATATATATATATATATATATATACACACATGTTTAATTTTTATTTAAATTATGTCTTTATTTTATGGAATTAGACATACATAAAATAGGACTAACAATATTGAATCAAATGAAGAACGCTGCAGTACAATTCCTGACCAGCAGGTTTCGCTGCTGCCTCAGAGTCTGAGAATCTGCGCACCTGAGTGAAGACGCATCAGCGGCGGTGAAGGACGCGTCTCAGTGCGCACTGCACTACTAGCTCATCTCTAGGGACAGCACAAACACAACACACTCACTCACTCACGGGTGTACTGTGGTGGGTGGAGAAACACAGAAACACACATCCCGCTCAGACATGGACCTGGAGGCGTTCACGGGCGTTTAAGAGACGCTCGCGACCAGTGTGTTTTATAATCTTCGAGACAGAAGCGCAGGTGAATTGTTCCGTCAGTCATGACCGTGCGGCGTCTGTTGTCTCTTCACGCGCATGTTGTAGTTTACTAATAGCTGTGAAAGCGTCCCGCAAAACATCACGATGAAGGACACTGGAGAATCAAAGGATCATCAACTGACTGTAAGTCCACCGACTTAGTGTCTATAGTAGACTGTTGAGCCAAATATGTGAATGTATTCGTGTAAATTGGAGACTGTATTTAAATATTCGTTTGTGTGTATAATCAAATCTAGCTATATCCTAACAACACTCTGTAGTTGTAAACTTTGTTTCAACCAATAATAATTTATGCTATGTCTATGTATACTATTATATAGTGTATATGCATTCTGATGCACTTGTGTAATTATAATTAGCATATATAAAGTATTTGTATTATGAGATATAGTTAGCTCATATTGTATCTGCATATCTCGCATCTTTACAGTTGTTTTATTACAGACTGTATGCAGTAAATAACTATAACGGTTTTTATGTATGTGGGTATAGTTGCCAGGTCATGTGGTGGACATGCTAAACTTGATCTACACTTCATTTACAAATTAATTTCTTACGCTGCAGAACCATTTAAAATGATCTAGTGAGGCAAAAAGATGGTTACAAGTTTATAGATTATTGCAACCAGTTATAGAATCTAAATACATGTTCAGTTATTCAGTCTAAATCTAAATATGGACACATTATCGGTCAGTTGTGCATGTGTATGTATATATGTATCTATTGAGGTGATTTCTGCATACTGCACGCGCATGTCAGGATTTCAACTGTGTTTAGTCAATAACTTTATATGCATGAGAAATACATGAGTTCATATAAATAAATGTGTATGTATAGAAATAAAAAAGTGGATTTTATTCACTTCTATAGTCCCATTCCGTTCCCTGACAGCTTGTCTACTTTAAACCCCAGACAGATTTCAGTCTGATAGTCTACACTTGTTATATTTAGATTCTCTGGGAGCGTAATACCTGTTTTAGTGATCTTTTGCCCCCCTCTCAATAATTCACAGCGGCAGTTTAAGTCCCCTTTCTCTTCTTCCACTGTAAGACATCATCAACATGTGCCTTTTCTAGGCTATATTCTATATGATTATAAAATTAATAATAATGACAAAAATATTGCAAAATTTCCCATTTGCAGTGACTTTATGCAAGTATGTGCTGTGATCAACAGAACTGGTTTTGCCACATCCCATTAAGCATGTTAAATGTTTGGATAGCATTTGTTGCTCTAAAAGCAATAATAACCTCCAGCTATAATATTCCTATTGCGTAATTAACTATCTAGATTGCAGAGCTGCATCGCTGCACTGTGCCCCGTCAGTGTTTATTTCTACACTAAAAGCTGTGGTTATGTGCAAACCGATTCTCCTGCAGGCCAGCTGACTCAAACGGAAATGCCCTTTAAATAGAAATTAGTGAGAGTATTGTGCTAACATTTGATAAAGGTAACCTGCTGCTGTCTTTTATTTCCCAAGAATAGAGCAATCACTGCCCCTGTGTATCACTAAATATTCTTGAGTCTGTCGAAACATGTCAGCTTCTTATTCAATCAAGTTCTGACTACCAAAGGAGCTGTATTTTTTGTTATTTATATATTTTTGTTATTATAATATATAATACAGTACAGTGGCAATTAAGCCACATGCAGTTAAACTTGTATGAATTTCACTGCATTTGATACAAAATATTACTTGAAATTTATAAAGTATCCTCATGGTTTTAAGACTTAGCCTAATATGAACAGTATATCAATTATTTTAGCATTTGAAACACGATCAAGTAAAAAAAAAATTAAACGGTATAGTAACAAAAAACATGATACAATAAAAAAATATGTTTTGATGTGATTACATATGATTGTGCTGTCGTGTTGTTTTTCTTTTAAATAAATTTGGTTTAATATTTTATTTGATGCAATGACATTTGTGCTTTTTAAATATTCTAATATTCTAATATTAAACATTTTAAATATGAGGGTTTGAATGCAATTTAGTGCAATGACATTTGTGCTTTTTAAATATTTATTAGGGTTCAAATACTTTTTGAGACCAGTGCATTACCTTTTTTATTGTTTTGCAGGTGGCCCTGCGGATTCGGCCGTTGAGTGATGCTGAACTGGAGGAAGGAGCCACTATTATAGCCCACAAATTAGATGAGCAGGTCAGACCAAACAGATGTATCAGTTATTGTGTGTGTGTGTGTGTGGCACAGAGTCAGCACTACATTCTGCTTTAGCCTTCTCAATGAAGAATATATGTGCATAACTGCCTTAAAAAGGAGATTGCAGACTCTCAATGTTCCTTACGTTGTATATCTGTAATCTGCATTGAGTGTATTTTGTGCATTCAGACTATATTTGCTTTGTGTTCTTTTTGTGTTCATTGTGGTGGATCTCTGTTGTTTTCAGTCTAAGGACTAAGCAGGTGACTCAGGCCATTAAAATCAGCCAGGTTCTGAATAAAGCATTACTTTAATGAGTACAGCACTCACATTATTCAGAGAAAAACGCTTAAACTGGTAACAGGTATGCATGTTTTGTAGGTCAAGCGGGTACTTCCTGTACAAGTGGGTGGTTATTGGCCAGAATATGACTTTATGCTATTACTCAAAAGTCAGCTATGCAAAAGTCAGCTTCCATAGTTTCAGCCACAGAATTAAAAAATGAAAAAGGCAACTGCGACTCACAATTCTGATTGTTTTTATTGCAATTCTGAGAGTCTCACAATTCTCAATTTTTTCTCGTAATTCAGAATTGCGAGATATAAACTATAAATTGTAATTCTGAGAACAAAAGTCCGAATTTCGAGATGATAACTTGCAAGAAATATAAACTCAAAAGTCAGAATTGTGAGATAAATTGGCACAATTACATTTTTTGTGGTGGAAACAAAAAGTGAGAGATGTAAAATCAGAATTCAAAGAAGTCAGTCAAAAAAAAGTAGCAATTCTGAGAAAAAAAGTTTTTTTTCTTTTTTTTCTTTGCGTGGTGCAAACAGGATGCCATTAATGCATTTGAAAATATAAAGTTTATGTTTTATATACGTACTCATAAAAAGGGCATAGATGATGAGGAACGTGTCTATTTATCTCCATTGTCTAATTGTCTAAA